TTAACAACAATCTTGCTTAGAACAATCAGCTTGACTGGTGGTGCTCGGTGCTCAAAACAAGTTTAAAAAAGTGTCCCCTGACATGCCCTGACCTTTATCCTAATTTTAGGCTCACTGAATCCTGTAAAAAAACATAAAGCACAGTACTGCACCTGTCAGTAAAATGCTAAAGGTGCAACATGCATCAAGTTCAATTTAAGGGTGCTTGTAGGTACGTTCAGCAGTCTTCCAGTCTGTCCTGAGATCCCCAATATGCATGCGTGAAAATACACGCACATGATAATGAATGTTTTGACTGGCAGTTCAAGAAACATTGTGATCAATGGATGAACATGCAAAAACGCGCACGAAGATGTGCAACCTTCTGCCGCGTGTTTCCTGGCGTTTCCATTGAAGTCTATGGGGGAAAAACAAGCTTGAACTGCCAAAAGAAGCTCATGTACTGTTTTCTGCATTTGGCATTTTGCTGCTCAGGTGTGAACAGGGGCCATTGAAAATCTTGGGATCTCTTGTGTTGGGTGTGTTTTCCTTTTTCAGGGGTGCGGAGCTTGTTTATTACCGGGCTGCACTCAGGCCCGGATTCCCCACAAGGCCACCGAGGCCCGGCCTCGGGGCGACAGGGCGCAGAGGGGCGGCAGCGGTGTCCTTGTGGGGAAGTTGCCTTCTCTACATTCAGTCCTGCTTTGCACAAGCTTCAAACTCAGAGCTCTGTATCTCTTCTCATGCTGGGGGAGAACTTCCCTTTGTAGTTGAGTGCCTCTTCCTGTAGTGCTAACTCAGGATGTGAACCTGCACACAGACACCATGTATCCATTCCAGAGACAAGGCAGTCTGCTGCAAAACAGAAGTTCTGCCCAGCATGAGAAGACATGAGGATTTAAAAGGAAGAGCAGCAAAGAGAAGGGAAACTACCATGGATTACAGTAAGGCACACATTACAGTATTGGTATATGTTAAAAAATCCATCTGAGGGTTTAATGTCACTTTAAGGTTTAAGTCCTGTGCTTACCTTAGTAAGTAAGTAAGTGTCACCTTAAGGCATGTTTTAGATGTGTTTTCAATGCATTTAGGGCCAGTTAGTAAATGTCTGCCAGTCACCCTCTTTGTGTTGGCTTTCTGGCTGACACTGGAGCCAGTTGTATAGCACACCAGAGCCCTGGGGTAACGCACGTTCCATGCATTGCTGCACTGTGGTGCCATTTACTGTGAATGACAGACTTGTTTTACAATATATCTTAACATGCAGTAATGCACTGCTATGCTTCGGCGAGCGCTAGTCACACCTGCTACAGGAACGATTTTCGGTATCAGTTGAAGCATTGGCAGCTCATTTAAATAAATAGGCAACATGCATTATACGTATTGCCCTGGCGTGGATGGGTGCGGATTCTCGATCTTTATTGATGTGTAAGCAAATGCAAAATTAAATTACATTTTACACATTATACACTTCAAATTCCACAGGGACACTTTAAAGCTGAAATCCAGAATAAGCCAAACTTTTCTAAATACAAGAACATTGTGTATTCTTAGATCAATCGTGGTGTGCTTTGTGTATTTCTTCCAGAGCTGTGCAGTAATACATTAAACTTTGCCACCATGCAGGCTCTTCTTGTAATAAAGACCGGTCACTGCTGATCTCTTCCCTTGTGCAGGGTGACTTGTCTTGTATCCGCCCCCTCCTGTAGTTTTCTCTAGGCAGTCCGTAGTAGGTGAGCACACCTCTCAGCACAGGTTATGCACAGACCAGTAATGATGTCATGGCTATGTTCACAAGGTAATATTTGGGTTCAGTGGCGTAACTAGTGACCCCAGGGCCCCCCCCCCAAGAAGAAACACATTAGATTTTTTTTTAAACAAAATTTAGACAAGGAAAGAAAAAAAAAACACTGTCCTCTTTCATCTCCCCTTTATCTCCCCCTTCATTCCGTTACGCTCTCGGACCCAATGTCACCTTACTTGATACTTCCAGCTCCCTGTCTCCCCCTTCGTGTCCGCAGCAGCTCTATTCGGCACTCGGCGGCAGTTCTGTGTGATGAGGGGGCGGGGATTACACCGCTCCCTCTCATTGGCTGCTGCCCGGCTGGATGATGCTTCACGCTGCGCCCGGAACAAGATGAGGGGAGCAGCGTGAAGCATGTAGGGCCCAGGACGGGAGGAAGAGGTCCTGGGACTGGTAATCAGTGGTCACCAGTGGCCACTTCCTTCGGTCCTGGGCCCCCTCTAAGTGGCTGAACTCCAGGGCCCGGTCGCGGCCGCGACCTCTGCGACCCTGGTAGTTCCGCCACTGTTTGGGTTGGCAAAAGTATTTGGTGCATATAAATTGGATCCTGTGTAGCTATTAAAGGAGCACTATGAGGTGAATGCTTTTCACTCACCTCATAGTTCTAGCCGACCTGTGACAATGAGACTGTCACAGGTCGCTCAGTAGATCGGGAGGTGAGCGAACGCATGCCATTGTTCGCTCACTTCTCGATCCTGTCACGGCTCTCTGCCGTGACAGGGGAGGGGATGGATTCTGCCCTCCCCGATCCGCCAGCGCTGACTGGCGGAACGGACGGGGAGGGGGTGGGTACAGCTGGCTCTGCCTCTAGATAGGCAGAGCCAGCTGTCACGCAGCTGGGCGGATCTCGACATAGATGTCGGGATCCGCTCCGGCATCTCAGTGTACCGCGAGCTGTAGCTCGCGGTATACTGAGCTTATGGTGACGGGAGGACGCTAGTTTGTGTCCTCCCGTTACCCTAAGGAGAACTATGGGGAAAAGCCCTGACCCCCATAGTTCTCCTTTAAGGAATATATTCAAATGAAAGTTTTTGTTCCTGAAGTTCAGCTTTAACCCCTTTGTGATTGGAGACATACACTGTAAGTACCCACCACTAAGTGCCCAAATGACTGATCACGTACATTGTATGTGATCAGCTATTGTGGGCTGTGGAATGTCGGTATCCACTGAGAATCAGAGGTTACTGTTCAAAAATGGATGCCTCAGTATTGATGTATCCATTAATGAAGGCGTTAAGCTTTTACAAACACCCGATCCCTTTTAGAGATCAAGTGTCTAACAGTAGTAGCAGAGCGGTATTTACTGAACTGGCTCTCACTGTTTGACAGCTGGTACAGATGGATATTAGAAAATCCCGGTCTGTACCAGATTTTCTTGAAATTGTTCAGCATAGAAACCTTTAGCTACATGTTTCTATTATTAAACAATGTTGCAGACTTCTGATTGTTCTGGGAGCGATCAGAAGCCTTTAGTCACACTGATCCTAGCATGCTGTCACTAAGCTTGTTATTGGCTGTTCCTACGTTGCTCCTACTGCAGCTGAGCTGCAGATTTGTTTTTCACCCTAAGGGGTTCATTTTTTTATTTAGCTCCCTCATGAGGGCGATGTTCAAAGTATGTTGCTGTCAATAAGTGTGAGTGACATTGTATGCCACCTAGCCTAACCACATCTAGCTTTTAGAGTTTGTTTGTTTTTAGTGTTAGGCCGAGAAGTACGACGTTTCTGAAATCCTAGGCATGTGAGGTGTTTCCTAAATAAAGGACAAATTGAATTAATTTGAATGCATTTGTTTTTAGCTATTTTTGTAAACAATAATAATAAAACCTGGGAAAAAGTGTTTTCTTTAAGTTTGATCCTCATTTTTGTATACCCTGTTTCCCCGAAAATAAGACCTACCCCGAAAATAAGACCTAGTACTATTTTTGGGAATTGCTAAAATATAAGACCTACCCCGAAAATAAGACCTAGTTATGACCATTCGCAGGGCCGGTGGTGGCATAAGGGGGAACTTGAAGAGCCGCGGTAGAGAATCGGCCAATGAAGCCAGCGCTAGAGGAAGCGAGGCGGCAGTGGAGGGAGCAGAGCCGCATAAGCCGATGCCTCCTCTATAGCGCCGGCTGCTGTCACAGGCGGGGTGATAGCAAATGCACTCCGCCTGTGAGGAATCGATAGTGAAAGCGCGCTTCGCTCATTCTGGCCAGCAAATTGCTCTTGGAAAGGTACGGCACCCCTGATCACCATATTTTTGTATATGAATAAGTGTGGAGCCAAAAGAAATATAAGACAGTGTCTTATTTTCGGGGAAACACGGTATATTATTTGTCCTGAGTGAGGTGTTGGGCACACATTTGTGTTATAAATATATAGCCCTGTCTGTCCTCTAATAAACAATATAGAATATGTGTGGGTGCACTTTGTATGAAAGTGTATTACTGACGTTGACGAATCACGCAGCTAAAATGTCAAAACTGCGTCCATCATTAATTAACACAAACGGAAAACAAGCTAAGTCATGAAGGGGTTAATGGCGGTGGATCCAGAATACGGGGGGCTCGGAATTGCTCCGCAAAGTCTACGTCTGAGTATGTAGTACACAAAATAGATTTGTTTTGAGAAACATATTTATGGGGTTATTCACAAAAGGGTGAAGAGTTTGGAGAAGGCAGGAGAAGTGAACAATCTAGGACAACATATCTGAACTGGAAAGTGAGCTGAATTGGAGAATGTTTCCAAACCCTTCACCCTGCAGTGAATAACCCTGTTAATGTTCAGCTTTAAGAGAAGCCGGTACTGTGATAACTATGCTTGCCATTGTTGCCTCCTGAAAATGTTAGTTGCCTGGCTGTCACCTGATCCACTACTTCTATAGCTAGAATGATAAGCCTGCAGACCATTTGTGACTTTTTTTTAGAACTTCTAACTATATTCTTCCACTGCGTCACAGACAATATTTAGACACAGCCAGCAAGCCTGCGCTTAGTACATAAAGCAGGGCAGTAATGGGGGTCTGTATAGCTCTCTGCTTGCTGCTTTTCTTTCCTATGCTATGAATAGAGACCATCCTCCTAGTCAGTCTGAATGACATTCAACAAACCACGCCCCTCGCACAGCCGCGGACGTCACCGGAACACCACCCCTCGTCATAGGTGTGCGGAAGTAAATAGTAGTAGTTGGCATATGTCAAATACGTTTTGTCCCGCCCCTGAGCCAAGATTTCCGGTTCCTGTCTTGTAACGCTGACGAATCAGTAAGGTGGGTTTGCTGACGGCGGCCGGGGAGGGTCATTCAGTGTGAGACGTGTCGCTTTCCTCTCATCCTCTCTCTACCTCGGTCATGGCTCCCAAAGGCAGCAACAAGCAGCAGTCCGAGGAGGACTTACTACTGCAGGACTTCAGCCGCAACCTGTCTGCCAAATCCTCGGCACTCTTCTACGGGAACGCCTTCATCGTGTCAGCCATCCCCATCTGTAAGTGTCTGCCTGGGCCTCCCTCCGAGCCCATTCATCCT